GACAGCCAACACAGAGAAACCCTGTCTCACAGGGGATCTCTCCTGTAGCCCAAGGTGACTTGGAATTCACTATGTTGTTGTTTAACTTTTTTTTTAAAGTCATTATAAGTATGTGTGTGCATACACATGTGTACAAACATGTGCATGCCTAGATGCCAGTGTGGAGGTCAGAAGACAGCTTTTGGGAGTTTTCTCCTTCCACTGTGGATTCCAGAGGTTGAAGTGACGCCTGTCCAGCCAACACTTTCGTTCTCTGAGCCATCTTTCCCAGGAAGACAGCTGTTTGCTGTTGTTTGTTTTTACTGCTCTGTTGTTTCTAGCTGTTTGGGCCCTGCGTTTGATGCTCAGAACCACATAAACTGGTCTAGGTGATACACACTTGTAATATCAGCACTAGAGAGTTAGAGACAGGTGGATTAGGAGTTCAACGTCACCCTTGACTACACAGCAAGTTCAAAGCCATCCTGGGATAACAAACAAACAAACAAACAAAAACCAACCTTATTCTTCCAGATAATCCGAGTTCAGGTCTTAGTACCCTCATAATAGCTCACAAACATCTGTTAACTTGAAGGAGGACCTGACTCCTCTTTCTGGCCTCTGAGGGATGCACGTGGTGCACATAAATTCATGCATGCACACACATTAGAATAAAAAAATCTTTTAGTTGAATTGTAAGATAGAAAAAGACTTGATTGTGAGTTGAGAAAATAAAACTTCCATAGTAGGTGTTAGAAGTTGTGAGAATGAAAATCACCTCACAGTTTATATCTCATTCGCTCCCATAACCACCTCAACTAGAGGGAATTTTATTATCTCATATGGTAGACTAGATGGTTGCTTGGTGTCTCTTGGTCAGCTCTTCTCTCGATACCTCAGGGCTTGCTCAGTGAGCTTCTAAGCGAAAATGACCATGCTCGATCATGATGGATTCAACTCACCAACCTTAACCAGCCACATCATCAATGAATGCCTACCTTGCTGGTGGCATCAACACTTGCTTACCCCCCAAGGAAGCACCGTACTAGGAAGGCCAGCCACACGCCCAGTCTTCCCAGGACTGAATTGGACCTCTCCTATCATGGGTTGGGCAATACGTTTTTCTTCCATGGAATAAGTAACTCTGTGCTTGTTATTTGCTTTTCTTGCCCTTTGCACTTCTGCCAAAAGCAGCCTGTGTGTGCACAATGAATGCTCTATTCACCGTCGTGTTAAAACACACAGTACTGCTTCTGACCAAGGGACTGTTTATTTAGAAGTTGGTACGCGTTCGGAGGGGGCGTTGTTCTTGTACCGCAACACTCGCAAAGCAGCCAGACTCCTAGAACACAGGCACAGCCTATTGGAAAGGGGGTGACAGTGATAGGTTGGGGACAATCGGGTGGGAGTTCCATCCTAAAAGACGGGTAAACACTGAACCAGTAGCACATACATGATAACAGGTTACACAGACCTGGGAACCCAAGAGTAACATTTCTCAAAAATCACACCCTGTGACTCACTCTTCAAATGTTTGCAAACTGGGCTGGGGAAAGGTCTCCACGGTGCAGGGCTCACCTAGCATGTTTGAGGCTGGGGGTTCGATCTTCAGCATCGCACATGGACACACTCCAGTTCTGTATCTTTTCATGTTACCCTGAACACTGAGATGTTTTGTTTTTTGATTGTGTGTTTTACATTTGTGTGTGTGTGTGTATGTGTGTGTTGGAATGCATGCTACAGTGGACCTGTGTCAATCAGAGGAAAACTTTGGGGAATCAGTTCTCTCTTTCATAGAATCTGTGGGAAATCCAACCCACTGTCTATAGACTGTATAGACTTACACTCCGTGTGTGTGTGTGTGTGTGTGTGTGTGTGTGTGTGTGTGTGTGTGTGAAAATGTCTGATGCTGGGCATATTAAAAAACTCCTCAGGTGGCTGAAGAAATGGCTCAGCAGTTAAGAGCACTTATCTTGCAGAGGGATCAGGGTTCAATTCCCATCACCCACAAGGTGGCTCACAACCTTCAGTTCTAGGGGATCTGATTCCCTCCTTTGACTTCTGAGGAGACCAGGTTTGCACGTGGTGCACATACATACATGAAGGCAAAACATTCAGACACATAATAACGAATACATTTTTAAAAAGAACCAAATTAAAATAAAAAACAAACAAAAACCAAAACCATACCTTCCATAGGCCAACAATATGGCTCAAGTGGACAGAGGCACTTGCCAACCAAACTGACGACCTGAGCTTGATCCTCAGATCCCACATGCAGGAAGGAAAAAACTGACTCCCACAAGCTGTCCTCTCACTTCCACATTTACATTCTAACACACAAAATACGCAAACTAAAACCCTCCTTTATGCAGGGCATGGAATGACAAAGAAGGGTCTGTTTCTGTGTCTCTTCCCGGAAATGCAAAGTGAGCCCGCAGATCTTCACCTACCCATTCCCTATACCTTGGTCCCCACCCCCACTTCAGGAAAGCACTAAGCAAGCGCCAGGTCCCCCCCTCCAGCTCCTCCCTCCTCCGTAGGGCGCGTTGCGGGCTGTTCTGAGCTCCTGGACCCCTTCGGACCCCTCCTTTCGCGACGCTTGCGGTTTCCTCTCCGGGGCTGGGCCTCTAAGCCTCCTTAGTCCTCCTGGAAGACAACCAGAAGCAGCGGCGGGGAAGAGTTGAGCATCTGCAGCCGCCGCTAGGCCCCGCCCAGCAGCAGCGGAGCAGGGCCGCGCCCGGGACCGCGGCAGAGCGGGGTGAGTGAGGGCGGCTACGAGGGAGGGAGCCAGGTATCCCGGGTCCCCGCCCTGCCCTGGGGGCCGGCGTCCAGACCTTCAGCTCCCTCCCGCAGCGCGACCTTCAGCTCCCTTTCCCATTTGGCTCAGTCCAGTCCTTTCAGATCCTCAAATCCAACCAATTGGGGAAGAAAAAAAAAAAAAAAGGCCCAAGCCTGAACCCATCCCCTGCTTTTGCCCCCTCCTCGCGGCACCACGGGGTCCACCGTATCCCTACCATATGGTAGAACCCGGAATCCAGAGCTCCGGGCCCCAAGCCCGTGCTCGTAAAGATTGAGTCCCTCCCTTCGTCCTGAAGGCAGGAATGCAAGCCAAAAATAGCTCGCCCTTCTAGACCCAGAAGGCTCCAGCCACATCTGTTCTGAAAACCCGTCTCATGGCTCAGAAATCTGGGACCCCTAAATTTCCAGGAATTTAGCTACGATCCATCATCCTTTCGCCCCCATTGGCTGTGATCTTCTGAGACGAGGCCCAGCAGTCTGCACATGCTGCAGTTACAGAGTGATTGAGATACGTCCCACTACCCTCTAGGAAGACCTCCCCCCAAAAGAAACCCCACAGAAATCTGGTCTTTGTTCCTTGGGGGTGGGGCCTCACTAGTCAAGGTTGCTTGCTCAGAACTCCTAAAAGCTCAAGGCCTGGCATCCTAAATTCCTTTCTTTTTCAGGTCGACAAGACCCTAGGCCACAGACTCCGTTAAATTGAGAGGTCTGGTCCGAAATACGCTGCCACCTGGGTGTGTAAGACTTTTTTATTTTTTATTTTTCAATCCTGTCCAGAGTTGGGGATCAGATAGACAAGGACAGAAGCAGAGAGAAGGAGAATTGAATGAGGGGTAAGACTAGGCGCGGGGACCCGAGCTTGAGGGGGGGGAAGGGGACTCCATCTAAAACAAACCGTAAACATGTAGGTTTCTAAGGCAACGGCATTCTCGGGCCTACCCTGGAGATTTCTTTCTAGAGCTAAGTCAGGGAGGATAGCCCCTGGGAGCCCCCGCGCCGCCAGCTGCTGTGTCTTCCTGTTTTGTCTCCACAGCAACGGTGACCTCAGCCCTGCACCCCCTCACTGGTTGGGCCAGTGAGCCACGACACGCCAGTCTTTAGAGAGGCGTGGTGTGACACTAGCCCCGCCTTGGGGGCCGACCAGGGATAGCCCGAACGGAGGGAAAGATACCTTTTCACCGCCCAAGCCAGCCCCAAACCCCGCCCTCGGCCCCGCCCCCGCACGCTCCCCCGGCTGGCCAACTCCACCCAGCCCTAAGACCCCTCTTCTCGTCTGCAGCTGTCTTTCTTGTGTCTGCTGCAGGCGCCACTGGCTGGAGAGGTGAGGCTGCAGGGACCCCGAAGGGAAGGAGTCGCGGCCCAAGATCCTTGGGTCTAGAAAGAGAAGTGGGCAAGGGATTCAGATGTCTGGGCCAGAACTCTCTGAGCTCATACAGGTCTTACATGGAGAGTGGGCACCTGGGTCTGAGGTAGGACGGTGGGGATTGGACCCCTGAGGCTGAGAGCGGTGGGATGGGATCTGGAACCCTAGGTCAGACCGAACAGGCCTGGGATCTGGACTTAGATGGGTCTTGGGGGACGAGGGCTGGAGTTTGGGGCTTAGTCTGGAGGAGGGCGGGCGTCTGAATTTGTTCTAAAGGAGGAGGCATTGGGCTCTGAACTTGGACTGAAGGAGGTGGGTGAGGTTGGGATCTGGACTCTTGGGTTTGAGGACCTGGACAGATGGAGTACAGATCCCTGAATCTGAGGGGAGATGGGGCTCTTGGATGCGAGGCTTTCATCTGGTGCCCAGAGGTGCTCAGGAGGGGAGAAGTCCTTGGTGTGACCCTCCTTCCAGAGGCCTTATACGGGCACTTGGAGTGTGGGGGGAGCTGGGGAGCCATGTGGGATTAGGGCTGTGTCCACCGCTGGTGTGGGGCGTGGCCGAGTCTGAGTCTGTGGAGTGATGGATGACTTCAGGAGTGTAGCTAGGGAGACGGCAGCAGGGGTGCTGGGTGTGGCCCAGAGAGTGGAACTAGATCTAGGAGGAAGCTCAAGGGGCGTATCCTCGCCCTGCCTAGGTCTTAGGCTGAGCATTCCTTAGCTCTGACTTGAAACAGTGCTGGAGGCCCTCTGGACAGCCAAGGATGTCATCTCTCAGGCTCTCCCTTTCTTTTCTTCCTCCTTTCCTAACCAACTTTCCTCCAGACCGAAGGATTTATGATCTTCCCTCCTCCTCCTCCTCCTCCTCCTAGTGTTTATGGCTGGACAGTAGCCCACGTTTTTTTTTTAAGCAGGGTCCTTTGGCTGTCCTGGAACTTGCTGTGTAGACCTTGCTGGCCTTGTACTCGCAGAGATCCTCCTGCCTCTGCCTCCTGAGTGTTGCGATTAAAGGCGATCAATAGCCCACTTTTTATAGTGCTGGGTGTGAGACTAGTCCTGGCTTCCCATTAACCAGTCCTGGTGGGATCTGAACCGGATTTCTGCCTTCCTGTGACCCCTACCAGGTGCACTGGAGGCCCTAGCTCTGACTGGGGAGCCTACATTAACGGTGTGTACCCAATTCTAATTTAGCAGACGTTTCTAGCCTGAAGCAAGGGAAGCGATGTGTCCTCGAGCTCAGCAAGGCGATTTGAAGAGTTTTAAAGGAGTTTCTGTCTTGTAGTCAGAGAGTTTCATTCCCCTAACCGCATCCCCACCTGGTACTGGGTATGGGGGGGTTGAACCTAGTGCCTCCATATGCTGGTCAAATACTTCACCTTCCTCACCACCACCCGTCCTCCCCCCCCCCACTTTTTTTTCTTTTTGTAGTTTTGGCTTGTCTTGAAGACTATGGCTACAGGAAGGCCTTGAATTTCCAATCCTGCCTCCTCTCCTGGGGTTCTGGGAATACAGCCCTGCGCTACCAGGCCAGACTCACCTGCGTTCCATTCGGGACACAGAACTAAAAAACAAAACAAAACAAACAAACAAACAAAACCCAGCCCTTGGGAAACAGAGGCATGCGGATCTCTGTGAGCTCAATGTTTCGAGGTTTCCATAGCAAGCTCTAGGCCAGCAAGGGTTACACAGTAAGAGCTTGTCTCAAAATAGACTTTTAAAATATATTTACTTTGCAGGGGGTGGGGGGCGCACGGACTACAGGGCACGTGTGCAAGTCAGAGAACAACTTGTGTGAGTCGGTTCTGCCTGGCTCCCAACTCACACTTTTCAAGGAACCACAAATCGGACCCTCCCGCCTTCTCCTAGAATCCAGGATTCAATCGCCCCCCCCCCCCCCCCGCGCGCGCGCCCCACCCCACACACATCCAGTTTCCAGCCAGGGTGTCCTGGAGAGGGCCGGGCAGCCTCCGAGTGAGCCACGAGGGTCTTGGCACCACCTCCTGGCCCCTGCCACATTGTCCTGGCGGAGGCGACTTACAGCCCTTATAAGGAGCGGAGACGCGGGGCCAGGCTGGGCCTCCCGCCCCTGCAACCACCGCCCAGGGATCTCCCTCCGCCGACTGCCAGGCTGGGGCTAGGTTAACATTACTCACGCCCCTGGCGGGCCCGAAGGCCGGCCCTTTGTCCGCATTTGCTTCCACTCCGCCCACGGGCAAGTCCTAGGGGAGGAAGGAGAGGGCGGTGCTTCCTCGGGGTAACCTCTGAGACCTCGCTCTCGGGCTCGCCGCCAAGTATGCGTCCCCACAGGGAGACGGGTCCCAACTGTAGAGTCTAGGGCTCGGGGTTAGGGTGCTGCGAGGGAGGACAGCCTTGAGTTCCGCCCTGACTGCCTTTCTCCTCCTCAGGGCACCTGATCCACCTTTTCCAGGTGCGCCACCCTCGTCGCCTTTGCAGCGCGATCTTTCTCCTTCCGGTCGTCAGTTAAGACCGCAGGTGAGTGTGCTAGTTAGTGGCACTATGTTCTAGTTCTTGAGGGTGGAGGAACGGCTGCGGTCCGGATTGTAATTACAGTTCTTGAAGGTGAAGGGCTGGGGGAGGGGGATCCCTAAGTTTAAGGGAAGAGGGCTGAGGTTCTGGACCGAGAGTCTAAGAGAGGAGGGTCCTGTTCTGAGTCTGATGGAAGAGGGCCTGGAGCCTGGATCCCTGAGTCTAAGGGTGGAGTGTCTGGAACCTGAGCTTTGGGGTCTGTGATAGGGTTGGTGATTCCTGGGTCTGACTGAGGGAGGTTGGCCAGGAATACTGAACTGAATCTACAGAAGGAGAGGGCTAGGGCCTGGATCTCTGGGTATGACGGAGGAGGGGAATGGTGCCTAGATTCCTAGATCCTGATACAGGAGGAACTTGAAAGGATTCCAGAGGATAGAATCAGTTATTCATGTGCCTAAGAAGTTGTATCCAGGAGCTGGCTCCTGTGTACTTTGGGAGCTGTTCTGGGACAGCGTGAGCTTCCAGAGGTTAAAGCCTGACCTTCTGTCTTTCCATGGGCCTGACCTGAGCATGACTTTTCCTGGGGAAAGTTATGAATAACTTATGCTCATCTCCCGGCACAAAATGACACACTACCGTGGGGGTGGTGGCGCACACCTTTAATCCCAGCACTTGGGAGGCAGAGGCAGGCAGATCTCGGTGAGTTCGAGGCCAGCCTGGTCTACGGAGTGAGTTTCAGGACATCTAGGGCTACCTAGAGAAACCTTGTCTCAAAAACAAAAAACAAAAAAAAGGATGACAGACCAAATACACTGTTAACCGGAGTACAGCTTGTTGAGCCAATGAGTTGATTGGGATACTTGCAAGGGCCTGGACATCACTGAAAAGCCCACCTCAGCCTGGGTGATGACTCATGAAAGATAGGTTCGTGGAGCATACTGCCCAACTTGTAGTTAGCTGGGCAGAAGAGCCTCCCCCCCCCCAACTTGTTTTTTTGAGACAAGGTTTCTCTGTGTAGCTGTGCCCATCTGGAACTCTGTAGATCCACTTGCCTCTGCCTCCTGAGTGCTGGGATTAAAGGTGTGCACCACCACTACTGAGCTAAATGAAATATCCATATCCCCCCCACACCCCACCCTCACCCCTGGCTAAATAAACTATCCATCCCCCCACACACACACGTACCCCTCACCCCCACCCCATCCTCTTAATTGCTCAATGTTCATATATTCTTGTGGTGGGGCTTCAGCTTTGGGAAGAGGCCTCATACCAAAATCTTGTACTTTCAGAGTATGTTTCCTGAGCCTTGAAAGTTCCTATTATCTTTCTTCTTTCTAACATGTAATTATCTCTGTGTGTGTGTGTGCGTGTGTGTGCGCGCCCCATGGCAAGTGTATGGAGGTCAGGGGACAATTTTCAGAATTCAGTTCTGTGCACCATGTGGGTCTTGGGGATTGAACTCAGGTTTGTCAAGCTCTGTTGCAAGTTCCTTTGCTAACTGAACTGTGTAATTGGCCCAGGTCTCTATAGCTTTTGAGTCATTCGAGCCTTTCCGTTCCCTCCAGCAGCTGATGTACAAGTCAGAGGAAATAATGGCAGAACTGAAAATAGCAATAAGGAAGTTTTATTTTCCTGGGTTTGGGAACTGCCTCCCCATATTTTGGGGGGCATCAGCTGAGAGGTCAGACAGTTAGCATCCTGAAGAGGGCTCTGGCATCTGATCCCAGTTCTGAGTCTAAGACAAGGTTTGTCAGTGGAAAAAAAAAGTTAGTCCTTCTACCCCCATCCTATGTCTGGGTCACGGGGGACATTAGAAGGCTGAGAGGCATGTCCGGAGGTCCAGCCCTGCATGACTGGCCTTGAAAGCTAGAAATTTCAATGGATGGGGCTGAGCCACTGAACAGTGAGAGCGGAGGGAGTTGAATTTTCCTGAACTTGAGGAACCTGTTAGCCAAGTCCCTTTAGGAATTGATAGGCTCCATGATAGGAAAGAGGAAACTGAGCTGCCTTTGGGTTTTTTTTTTTTCTCCCATGTCTGAAGTAGGATTAGGGGGAGGATTCGTGAAACTTGAAAGGAGGGGAGAAAGAAAATTTGATGTTCCTGATCAGAGATCTCTGGGAGAGGAGTAAGTGGAAGGATGGAGGTCCAGTGCTCTGGTTAGACGTGGGAGCTGGAATGGAAGATGGAATACTGGACGTATAGGGGCTGCTAATGTCTACCATGAAAGAATTACTTTTGCGGGGCATGGTGGCACACGCCGTTAATCCCAGCACTCGGGAGGCAGAGGCAGGCAGATCTCTGTGAGTTCAAGGCCAGCCTGGTCTATAAAGAGAGTTCTAGGACAGCCAAACCAAAAAAGAAGAAGATCTACTCATTGGGCCTGAGGTTTGAGGAAGTTGGAGTCTTGGCTGTGGAGAAGCTAGAAATGACTGAGTTGCTGCAGGGTGAAAGGGGGAACTTTGTTCATAGAGCCTGGGGTACAAAAGCCCTAGGTCACACAGAGGAGGAAGTGAGATAACTCCCAGGATCTTAGACCATAATCTTTTCGTTGCTGTTTTTTTTTTTTTTTTTTTTTTTTTAAAGGCAAAATCTCATTCTGTAGCCCAAGCTGGCCTAGAATTCACTATTGGAACCCAGTCTGGCTTCCATCTCATGGTCACCCTACCTCAGCTTCTCAAATACTAGGATCACAGGTGTGCATTTGGTCTATGCAGGGCCGGGATCAGAACCAGTAGGCAAGCATGCTATCAGCTGAACCACATCCCCCAAACCACAGCCCTACGTGAGTGGTTGGGGTGGGTCTGTATGTACTCATGTGGAGGAGGTCAGAGGCCACCTGGAGGAGTTGGTTCTCTCCTTCCACCAGGTGGGCCCCAGGGATCCAACTCAGGTTGTTCAGCATGGCTACAAGTTCCTTTGTCCGCCGAGGCATCTCACTGGTGCCCACCATACTCCAGCAGTCAAGAGGCTGCTAAGTCCCTGGGAATGAAGAGCAAGAAGTGCTACTTTGGGTCTCTGGATTCTGAGTTCTCTCATGGGCAGATCGGGGATGAGCCTAGAACCTAGATGACCAATTCGTTCTTACAGTTTATAAACAGGTTCCATTTTTTTTTCCTTCAATTTTTTCACTTCTCAGCGTTTCTCTGTGTAGCCTTTGCTGTCCTGGAACTCACTCTGTAGACCAGGCTGGCCTCGAACTCAAGAGGTCTACCTTCCTCTGCCTCCTGAGTGCTGAGATTATAAAGGTGTTCGCCACCACTGCCCGAGTTACAAGTCCTCTATTTTGAGACATACCCTTTTCAGAGTTCAAGATAATTTGTTCCAAGACAGATGAGGGGCTGGGTGTGTGGATTCCTCCGTGTGAGGCCTTATCCAAAGGTTTGTTTTGTTTTTCTCAGCCATGCCGGTATCAGTGACCCGCACGACCATCACGACTACAACAACGTCCTCCTCCTCCACCATTGTGGGGTCCCCTCGGGCACTGACCCAGCCGCTGGGCCTCCTCCGCCTCTTGCAGCTAATATCCACTTGCGTGGCTTTCTCGCTGGTGGCCAGTGTGGCCGCTTGGACTGGGCCCATGGGTAACTGGGCCATGTTCACCTGGTGTTTCTGCTTTGCGGTGACGCTCATCATCCTGATTGTGGAATTGGGCGGACTCCAGGCCCGCTTCCCCCTATCGTGGCGAAACTTCCCCATCACCTACGCCTGCTACGCGGCTCTCTTCTGCCTGTCGTCGTCCATCATCTACCCCACCACCTATGTGCAGTTCATGGCTCACGGACGGACCCGGGACCACGCCATCGCGGCCACCACCTTCTCCTGTGTCGCCTGTTTGGCCTACGCCACCGAAGTGGCCTGGACTCGTGCAAGGCCGGGTGAGATCACTGGCTACATGGCTACCGTGCCGGGGCTGCTTAAGGTTTTCGAGACCTTCGTAGCCTGTATCATCTTTGCCTTCATCAGCGAGCCATTCCTGTACCAGCAAAAGCCGGCCCTGGAGTGGTGTGTGGCAGTCTACGCCATCTGCTTCATCCTGGCTGCCGTGACCATCCTGCTCAACCTGGGGGACTGTACCAACATGCTGCCCATCCCCTTCCCCACCTTCCTGTCCGGCCTGGCCTTACTGTCTGTCCTCTTGTATGCCACCGCCATTGTCCTCTGGCCCCTCTACCAGTTTGACCAGAGGTACCATGGCTACCCGCGGCGGGCGGCGGATGCAAGCTGCGCTTATACGCACCCCCACTCGGTGTGTTACTGGGACCGCCGGCTGGCGGTGGCCATCCTGACAGGTGTCAACCTGCTGGCCTATGTGTCTGACCTGGTGTACTCCGCCCGGCTGGTGTTTGTCAAGGTCTAAGGTTAACAAGGGGCTCCCCTCCCCATCCCTTCTGGCGACCTCTCCATCTTATTGGCCACGTTTTTTTGGTACCGTCCTGTTTCCTCCTCCTCTCCTCCCTCCCGTTTCCTCTTCCTCCTTATATATTCCTCCTGACTCATTGTTCTCTTTCCTTGTTTCGCTTTCTTCCTTTTCCTCTTCCTGTTTGCCTATCTATCTATTTCCTGTTTTGCTGCCCAGGAGCGGTCTCCACAGCCCTCTGCTTTACCTCTTTCAAATTCCTATCCCCACGGTTTCCCGGGGAGCCCTCGGAGTTCTTGCTTTCTCTCTCCCTCACCCCTCAAAGGTGCTGACCCCACACATCCCACCCTCCTTTGCAGTTCTTCACCCCCATGGGCCTCTTTAGGGCTCTCATTGCCAAAGCATGCCTGCCTGCCTGCCTGCCTTAGCTGTGCCTTAGTATGTGCGTGTGTGTTAAAGGGGTTGGGGACCAGGCGTACAGTAACCTCTAAGTTCAAAAAAAAAAAAAAACAAAAAAAAAAACTCTGGAGGTCAATAATTCCCGGTAGCCAGGAGTCTTTAAGCAGAGTCTCTGTCTCTACCTTGTCACTCAGCTTTGCCTAAAATTGACTCCAGAATTTTTTACCAGGCTTACTGAAGACCCACTGCCTAGAGGCTATCCTAGATGAAGCAAAGGATGGATGCCTTTGCTGAATTATTCTCTGTGCTATACAAACAAACAAAACAAAAAACCACCAAAAATACCCACATGGTCTTAAAGACAGCTCTGAAGTATTTCTGAGGGACAGTAATGGTGGCCCTCCATCTCAGTGTTAAAAATAACATGGCCTGCTTTAGCACAGATGGGAAGAAAAATGGCCTCTGTTGGCCTTAAAGGCATTATTGGCCTCTTATTTTTTTCCTGAACATGAAGGCAAAAAACCAAAATGACTAAGAAGCTCTTTTTTTTTTTTTTTTAAAGCTTTTGGGACGGGGTCTCATGTAACCCAAGCTGGTCTCGAACTTAACTGTGTAGCTCAGGCTGCCCTTGAACCCTTGGTCTTCCCGTCTCCACCTCTCAGGTGCTGAGATCACAGGTGTGCTACCACATCCAGCTGTGTAGGTCATTCAAGAGGGACGCTTCTTAACCATCTTCTCTTGGGTGGGGGGGTGTTGTCAGGATTGGGACGGCTTGTGTGTGCTGCACACGCTCTGGGTCTGTGTGTCTTAACGTTAGTTGCTTCTTGCTGCTGCTTTCTGCTTCTCTGGGACTCACATGCATTATTGGTATATATAGATATATATATAAATGTATAAATATATATTTTATTTTTTTTTATTTTCTGGAGCTTTAGGTTCCTCTAGCTCCTCCTGTCAATCATCCCTTCCCACCCCCCCACCCCACATCCATAATGTTCTTTTTTTAAAATCTCAATATAAAGATAACAGGAAGACTCCTGCTTTATTTATCACGGGTGGGGAGGGGGGAGTGTGGGTAGGTGGGGGGGAGGGCTTGAAGAGAGGGTTGGGACACAGATTCTTCAGTTCTATGGCAGAAGGGGGTTGAGAAGAACCTTGGCCTCATCAGAAAACAGTGGCAGCGTCTGGATCCACCCCCCTCCGCCTTCTTGTAAGACAGTCTCATGTATCCTAGGCTGGCTTCAAACTCACTATGTAGCCAAGGGTAAATCCAAGCCCTGCCTCCACCTCCAGTGCTGGGGTTACAGGTATGAGCCACCACGCCCTGTTTATGCAGCGCTGAGGACAGAACCCAGAGCTTGGCACGTGCTGGGCTAGCCCTTTACCAGCTGAGCTCTATCTATACCGCAGCCTGTTAGGTTTCCACATTATTCTTTAAATTCAAGAGAGAGAGCTCAGAGGTTGGTTAAAAGCACATGCATCAGCATCAGGGTTTGCATCCCAGTACCCATGGAACAGGCTGAGCATCCCCTCAGGTTGGGGGAAAGAGACAGGAGGATCACTGGGGATTGCTGGCTTCCTGCCTCAGAGTGAAGGAAGATGATATGATACCCTTTTCTGGCCTCTATACCTACATTCACACAGACATATACAGACATAATGTTTTGTTTTTGTTTTTTTTTTCCCCCTGAGACAGGGTTTCTCTGTGTAGCTTTGGTGGCTGTCCTAGATCTTGCTCTGTAGACCAGGCTGGCCTGGAACTCACAGAGATCCTCCTGGTTCTGCCTCCCGAGTGCTGGGATAAAAGGCGTGTGTCACCACCACCGCCCGACTCATTTTATAACCTTTAAAAAGAGGGAAGAAACCAGGAAGGTTGGCTAGGAAAGACATGAACGTGATTTCTCCCCCAGAGAGTCCCATGAGTACTCGAGAAATATAAGCCACCGTGGCTTAGCAAGTGGCTCAGAGGAAGAGTGCTTGCTAGCATGTATGAGGCCCTAGCAGTCCTATCCCTAGCAACACACACACAGATTCAGGAGGAAAAGCTCACCTTGGCAATTCAGAAATAAAATGTCCTGGCGATAGAGGGGGTGCAGTTAAACGTGCTGGAGTTCAGTTCATAGCACCCACACTAGCAGATCACAACTCCAGTTTCATGAGAGATAGCTCAGAGGTTAAAACTGCTCACACCCTCTGGCCTCCACAACCAGACACAGACGCACAAAAGTAAGTTAAAAAAATACAACGTCCAAGGTGGGTATGGTTGCCCTTGCCTTTAATCCCAGCACTTGGGAGGCAGAGGCAGGCAGTGAGTTCAAGGCCAGCCTGGGCTACAGAGCTAGTTCCAGGGCAGCCACAGCTACAAAGGGAAACCCTATCTCAGAAACATACACACACACACACACACACACACACACACATACACACACATATATATATATTCCAATTTGAGTGCAACAGTTTTCTCCAAAATGCATTCATTTCCCCGTGTTTTCCAGCAGACTCCTGACAGTTCATGCAACACTGGTCTATCTCCTAAGTACCATTCATAGCGACCTTCTCCTTGACTATGCTCTGTCCAACTTAACCTTGCCCCATTGGGACCCACTCCATCCAGATCTGACCCTGCCCCTCCCTGCTGAAATTCACCTGAATATCACATACATAAAACACACAGAAATTCCAGGATCTGGCTGAAGAGACCGCTCAGCAGTTAAGAGTACTGGCTTCTCTTCCAGAGGACCCAGGTTCAATTCCCAGCACCCACATGGCAGCTCACAACTGCTTATAACTCCAGTTCCAGACGTTTAACACCTTCACATGGGCAATGCACATAAAATTAAATAAGTCATTTAAAAAATTCCAGGATCATATGAAACCTTTTTTTGCTCTTGTAACTTGGAAAACATTGCAAAATTTGGAAATGAATGAAAAATAAAAAAAAGGAAGGACATGACTGCTCTTAGGTATGGTGGAGGTGAAGGTTTACTGTAGACAGAAGGAAGAGCATAGCCAAAGAGATGTCTAGGAGAGTCCAGAGTGAATATGACCCTGAGCTGGGCCATGTGAGAAGAGCAGGGAGGGGAGAGGGGAGAACCAGGAGGCCAAGAGGCCAGGAGGGTAAAAGGTAAACAGAAGGACCATGTAGCCAAAATAGCTGGATTATATAGGGATGGGCAACTGGGAGAAAGGCAGCCCATCCCCTGAGCTGGAGTAGTTTAGGGAAGGGGCGGAGAGTTTAGGGAAGGAAGGGATGGAGTGTGCCAGCCAGACTTTGTAAGAGGTAGGGACTGAGGAATGCAGGAGGAACCTGGCAGCCAGGTCTGCTTTGATATGTTAAATAGGCAGGTCAATCAGCCTTTTGTCCCAGGTTTGAGACGTAACAGGAAGTACAAGGGAGAAGGGCCAGTTAGGACACATACTCATGGGGTAAGAAATGTCTTATATTTTTCAGTGTTTACCAAGACCTATCTGCATGAATCCCTCTTCTCAGGAGGACGTTTCACCCACTCCTTCCCCTACCTGGTTCAAGAATACCTTCTGGAAGACACTAGAAAGAACAGCTAGAGGGTTGTGGGTCCCGACCAGTTGGTACAAGGCCCTCGGTTTAATCCTCAGCACCTGAGCCCCCAGGCTGTGGTGAAGCATGCCGGCACACCCAGGTTTTTTTTGGGGGGGGGGCGGGGAGGTGAAGGCAGGAAGCTCAGATGTTCAAGGTTATCCTCGACTACCAAGCAAGTTTGAAGCCAGCCAGAAATACACCAGACCCATGTAGGTATGTATGTATTTACCAGATAAGAGTCTCATTGTGTAGCTCTGGCTGGTCTGGAACTTGCTATGTAGATCAGGCTGACATCACATTCACAAGAGCTCTTTCTGCCTCTGTCTGAGATTAAAGGTGTGCAAGCCCCTATTTTAAAATACAAAACACAGAGCCGGGCGGTGGTGGTGCACGCCTTTAATCCTAGCACTCGGGAGGCAGGCGAATCTCTGAGTTCGAGGCCAGCCTGGTCTACATAGTGCATTCCAGGACAGCAAGGGCTGTTACACTGAGAAATTCTGTCTCGCTTCCCCTCCGCCCCGCCCCCAAAGAAGAAACAAAGCTAAACACAGCTGTAGCATCCAGTGGTCTTCTGTATTGATTCGGAAAAGCAGCAGCGGACGAAGCTGGACGCCTAGTGCCTTCCACCGGTCGCCCCAGAGAACCACAGACATTTAGAGGTGGCTTGCCGGGCGGGCAGGGAACTCTGCATTCAGCGAAGGGTGCTTGGGAGTTGACTCGAACTCCTCCACCTCCCTTGCACCTTCTGGAATCTGGACGCAACCGCAAGATAGGCAAAACCGCAAAGAAGGCGTGGTACTACAGACACCCTCGCCAACGCAGGGCACGCCGGGAGAAGTAGTTCTCTGTTGCTTCCCAAGAATAGCTTGTTCGAGGGCCTTAACTATAAGTCCCAGAGTGCACTGAGCTCGATAGCCTCTGGCGGGCCAGGGTTCCCCATGGCCTATGAACGGCTTCCTGCCAGATTGGACCCATTGGAGTGCCAGAACTGCGGAAAGGGCGCACCGTGGGGCGTGACCTGGGGGAGGAACGCGGGGGAGTAAACTTGGGAGGTGCATAGGGAATCCCAGGGAGACACAGAGTCAGAAGCCCCCACCCAGATAGAGAGTCACAGGGAGACACGTGAGACCCCAGAGACAGAGTCACAGGGAGATCCAGAGTCAAAAAAGACACAGCTAGACATTGTCATAGGGAGACACTGAGGGGGCAGGCCCTCAGAGATGGAGAGTTACGGGGAGACACAGACTGGGGAGAAACCTCCCGAGACGGAGCTGCAGGGAGAAACATAGAGAGAAGTCTCTGAGACAGAGACGGGGAGACACTGGAGGGAGAAACCCCTGCGACGGGGCGATCACTGGGAGACACTGAGGAGGGTCGAGATTCCCCGGGAGACGGAGTCACCGGGAGTCACCGAGGAGGGAGAGTCTCCCAGAGACAGTTACAGGGAAATGGGGAGGGCGAAGAGACCGCTGGAGACAGAGTCACAAGGAGTGGGGGAGGGATGCCCAAGGACAAAGAGGGTCACGGGGCCACAAAGAAAAACCCTGAGCGGGTCAGAGCGAAAGGGACAGAAGGAAAGAGGCCCAGGAAAGGAGGGACAGGCAACTCTTCAGGGAGAGCATCCCCTAGCGACTGCAGGGGAGAAATACAGAAGTGGAGAGTGACGGACATCGGGAAACGCTGATCTGAACTGGCAGAGGTGAAACAAGGAACCCAGAAAAGACCGGGAAAGGCAGGGAGATGGATATGAAAACATTTCACCATGTGGGGCATGAGGAGAGACGTGAGCAAGGAAAGGAGAGACGCAGAGCGGGGAGGAACAGAGAGAGAACACAGAGGAAAGGAGAGACAAGAAGTGGGAGAGAGAGGAGAGACACGCCCAAAGGGAGGCATGTCAGTAAAGCCAGAGGCTCCGAGAGCGAGAAAAGAGCCCGCAGCATCATGGAGAGTGAGACACGAGCCTCTCCGTTCATCCGGAAGTCCTTAGCACTGAACACAAAGTTTCTTGATTAATGTGAGTAATATGGCCAGAGACACACAGATCTAGCCCATATTCAAGAGCCATGCAACTGAGCGGGGAGGAAGATGGAGATGTTGGGGCCAGGATGACAGGCTGGAATGTATTTGGGGGGAAGGAGGGGGATGGACAAGACTCAGAGGACGTCCCCTCCCTGCATACCGCCTGCGGAATGGGTGTGTGCACGTGGAGAGGAGGGAGGGGCATCTGTCCTGGGCTTTTGGGGAGGGGCGGGGGAGGGGGCGCCTTTAAGCTGAAACCCCGCCCCCTTGGTCGTCATGGCAACGCCTCTCCCCCACCCCCCCCACCCCCAGCTTCTACATTTCAGCAGGTGCCGGGAGCCGGAGCTCCCGCCGCCGCCCGTGCCTGCGGCTCCTCGGTGCCCCTGCCTTCTGCTCTGACCTCACCCGCCTGCTCCAGCCTCGGTGCAGCCGGTGCCGTGCCGGGGTGCCGCT